GGAGAATCAGGATATATTATTACCTGTCTCTAACAGAACACGCACAACATCCACCTTTCCAAACAAGGCTGCTTCGTGAAGTGCACTCCCCTTTTCTGTCTGGAAAAAAAGAAAGAAAGAAAAGAAAAAAGTACAGTTGCATTAGGAAGGCTTACAGGTTAAAAAATTCTGTCATCTATGTATTAATACAAATGTTCAGTAATCTCAGTATTTCCTGACAGAAAAGTAGCGTAGAATAAAGAGGAGATTCTAGGACAAAATCCAAAGGCTTGTGCTTGTGCAACCCTTCTACTTCTGAACAGCTTTTTGACCTTGTGAGTCATGCAGGTAAACCACTCACCTTCACTTAGCCTTGGTTGTCCTCAAGTGTAAAATAAGAGTAGTAATGCCTGCCTCATGAGGCTTTTGTGAGTATTCAATGAGATCACTCAATCAACATGCACTTATTAAACACTAACTGTGTACCAAGATAAGGTCCCTAGGTGGTTAACCGGTTTGTAATTGGGTGCTAGCCTAAAGGCTGGCAGTTTGAACCCACCCAGCTGTACCCTCATGATCTGCTTCCATAAAGATTACAGCCAAGAAAACTCTGTGAAGCAGCTGTACTCTGTAACACATGGGGTCACCATGAATCGGAGTTGACTGGAGGGCAACAGGCTTGGTTTTTTGTTATTTTTATATGCCAAGATAGTTCAGAGGTCTCCTGAAGTATGGAAATATAATCCTGGACCTCTAACATTTGCATTCTATTTGGGGAAACAGATGTAGAAATAAATATGTATGATCAATGAAGTCTAAAAATTTCATGTGGCTTACAAAACCCAAAAGATCTGCTCCTTGTCCACTCCATCACTCCCCAAGACTTCATATCCCACTCTCCAGGCATACTGAACGTCTTCAATAGTATCATCCTCTATTTTCTTCCCCAGGGGTCTCAAAGGCTGGTCCCTTGGCCTGGAAGGATCTAACGCCTAAGCCTGTTTATCTTGCCATCACCTACACCACTAGTTCTCAAACTTCAGCATGAGTCAGAATTACCTGGAGAGCTTGTTAAAACCCAGATTTCTGGGCCCACCGCAGAGTTTCTGATCCTGTTTGGGATGAGAACTGAGAATTCCATTTCTAACAAGGTCCCAAGTGATATTGAGGGTCTAGGATTACACTTTGAGAACCACTACTCTGTATCACATGTCAAATCTCAACTTAAATATAATTTCATTTAAAAATTATCCCTAGTTATCCTTGAAGTCCAGTGCTTCTCCTGTGTGTTCCACATCAATATAAATTTCCCCCATCATAGCACTCATAATACCATATTACAATTTCATGTGATTGTCCATATCCCTTAATAAACTGTAAAGTCAGTGGAAACATAGACCAC